TAGATAGATAAAGAGCAACTCTTTGGGTCAAGGGGATCAAAAGACTTTGTAGCTTGGAATCTGTCATGCCAACTTCATATTTTAAGTGCTGTGCTTTTCTCCTACCTCATAGGCCCAGTGGGATGATTAATAAAATACTTTATAGAAGCTTTTCTTGGAACAATTTGTTGTTGTGAAGCCAGGTTAACCTCATTAAGGGTTTTACCTTTTGCTCCATCAAGGAAAAAAGACAGGGGGTGGGTAGGAAATCAGATGGTTTAAGTAAAACTTACTGTGGCTTTGTCATCAGTGGAGGAAGAAAAATGAAACCCGTTGCTTTCCATTGCATTCTGGCTGGCTCCCTGATGGAAAGCAGTCAGGTTCACTTAAGTAATACCTCCTGGAAAAGGAAGTATTGTATTTTTATTGGACACTTTTATTCAGAATTAACAAGCAAAGGGCTTCCCAGCAGGTATCCATTCCGGAAGCCTTTCACCACATTGTAATCCACAAGGCTTGGTGTTCGAATTAGAGTCAAAGGTACTTCAACAAAGGAGCTGTTGGGAGAAGTAAAATGAATCTTCGTGCTTCCTAAGCTTATTTATCAGCAGCAGGTTCCTTTGATTTGGGCTTGCCACTTGAGACCAAATTTCTACATCCTCTTGGGGTGGTCACTTATACACACTGGACAATTCTGCCTTCATAATCCATTAACTTGGTTTAAGCATGAGTTCTAAAAGTAATTACAATTCACTTGATATAAACACTAAACTATATCATCAGTCATTATTTGCCTTCTATAATGTTTTGGTCCTCACCACAGTCCCATTGCTTAGCAATATTGTGGCCTCAGCCTTTGGATTCCTGTGAAAGGCCTGGCCTTAGGAATTAGGAGCTCAAGTTCTATAGCCACATGGGCTACCATTGTCTCCCAACTGATGCTTGCAGATGTTTTGAGACACAGTTCCACCATGATGAGACTTATGGGATAGTGATGGGTGTCCTCTCAATTCATTTGGAGGACAGCACTGGGGGAAAATAATAAAAAACCCTAAAGTCTAAAAACATCACACCAATTTCCTCCATCCTTTGGTCACCACTAAGGGGAAAATGTGCAAAACTGTGAAAAGAAAAAATACCCAGAAAAATAAATAAAGACGGAGAAGGGGAGGGTAGAACCTATCTCTTGTTTTTGGAGTTCCTGCATTTTTCTGAGAAATCGATGACAGCTTAATGAGAGGAACATAGGCTAAGTTACTGTGAACCCACAGAAGTATGAAATAGCTGTATTTTGTGTAGATAAAGGAGAAAAGCAGTCTTGGAGAAGGCAGTGTCAGTGTCTCATACAGCCATTTGAACACAGTCCAAATACCAGTCATTGAAATGGAATTTTAGCTGCTACTACCGAATGCCAGGTCAACCTGTAAAAAGGGGCCTCGCATTGAGGACTTAATAAATGAGAGGACCTATATCAGAGGTCTCATTCTCGCGGCCCACAGGCCAATTGCGGCCCACAGGACGATATCCTGTGGCCCCCACCGTGATATGAAAGTATAATATTAGTGCGTTCTCCATGCGTCACTAGCTGGCTAAATACTTCTATGTGCGGCCCAGCCTCACCCAGACTCTGCCTCCAGCGGCCCCCAGGTAAATTGTGTTTGAGACCCCTGACCTATATGGAATTAACTGGCTGGTTTTGGGGCAGAGAGGGCTCTTGTAAATGTGACTGCTGAATTTCAAGTGTAGAACTCCCGAAAATCCTAGGGCAGGAGTAGGGCAGTGGCTATGGTTATCCAAGAGACTCTGAGATGATGCTCTATAGATAACCAGGTACAGGTAATTTTTGACTAATGACCCTAATTGAGCCTAGCAATTATGATTGTAAGATGTGGCAATCATAAAACAGGGTTATCACATGACAAACTTAATTTTATGATCTTTTTGTAGTGGTTATTATGTGAATGTGGTGGCAGTAAAGTTAACATCATGGTTGTTGGGTGAAACCTAAAAGTTTCTGGCAAAAATATTGTGAAGCACAGTTATCCGACTACAGATGCTACGAAAGGCCATAAATGCAAGCCAGTTCCCAAGGACCCCAAATTTGGTTGTGTTATCATGAGGACTGGGCTATTGGAACTTCAAAACCAGTTTATAAGTAGCTTTTGGGGGAGTCCATCATAACTTGTACTATTGGCTAAGCAACCAGTCATAAGTCAAGGACTAGCTGTATAAGGTTCCATTTGTGAAGTTGCACTAGGGATCTAATGGATTTGTTGCTATTATAACTGCCTCCCTACTGCATCATAGCTAATTTACCTAAGTGATTTGAAGCTATAATTAATGGTGGTTTCCCAGATGTGCAATGCTGCTGCAGAGTCAGAGACCACTCAGATGTTCATGGCCACCCTGGACTTGTTCCAGAATATTATTCTTTTAAAAGGCTGTTCTATCCACATCCCTATTTTCTGCAAAATATGGATTCTAGTGAAAGAACTACAGAATTCCTATCAAGGATATCTGAAAAATGTCCCTACTGAAATTCAAATTTGTATCTGTTGGCCCATAAATAGTTCAGTTGGCGTAGTTACCAACTCACATTAAGTTTTCTGCTAGGAGCTCTCCGTGGTGCTGCAAACACCAGTCTGTCTTAATGTTGGTTGTTGGTTGTTCAGACCAGAATTCTGCTTCAGTAAAAGGAAAAAGAGGTGCCTTATTTGCAGTTTAATTCCCTCTAGGGTGACTACTACTATTACTATTTATTTGTTTCAAAATTAAAAACTGAGGTCAAGGAATTTGAAAAGAGTTTTTTGTCCTGTTTTGGCAAAAATCCAAGGAGCTCTCCTTGTCACAGAGCACACTCGCATTGACTTTTTAAAACCTGTTTGATATCCTTGTAATAAATCAAGGAGAGTTTCTTACATAAAACTAATACAACTATATTAAACAAAATTAACAGCCTGCACTCAATTCTGATACTAATTTCAAATTATTGGATGGAACATGTTCACAGAACATATTACACTTTTACAGATATTTACCTGCCTATACATTTGTTTTGCAATTGGCTCCAGTTTTAAGTCTTCATGGTTCTGAACAAACATAGTTGGACATACTTAGATTGGAAATTCTGCTCTCAGCAACAACAAAAGGTTGATTCATAGCCCATGTCTTTTGATTGCATGTGTGGGCAAAAGGCTGTCCATGATGAAGAGAAACAGAAATTGGAATCACATAATTTGCCTAATTAGGTTTCTTAAACTTGATACAGTACCTTAAACTTTGAAACCTGGCTAGTTTTAAATGGCTTAGCACATCCTGTTTGTTTTAAGATCTACTGTATTACATCAACTTAGAAAATAAGTGAATTCATTAAGGAAGTTGAGATGTGCCACTCCAGAAATGTTCTACAACTGAATAACCTGGTCATTTCTTAACTGAGATTGGGATCCCTTCCATTCTGTACCCAAAGTAATTTGTGTGAAGTGTATGGCTGTTTACTCTAATTCAGCTAGTGTGTCATAGAAATTTAGAAAGAAAAGTTAATTACTGTTAAGTACTTCCTGAGAGTAATAGCAGATTCAATATGTAAGCTGCAGAAACAAGGTCGTCCATGTGTGAGAGATTTGGCAGACTGTTCTCAGGAGGATGATAAGCAATTTATTAATAGAGGAGTAGCAAAGATGTTCCTGAAATAACAGATCAGTCTGATCTGTTATCACTCCAATTAAAAATGGTATAATCTGAGTCCAAACAGGAACATAATGAAATTATTTTGTGGGAAGACAAATGTAGTTCAAGGCAAAAATGAAAAAAAAAAAAAAACTGCGTTGGAGCCAAAAACTGAAAGAATCACTCTACCTAATTTAGAGTATCTTCCAACATCTTTTAAAATTGATCATGATTTCTTGGATTGATGAGAGCTGTTGTTCAGAAACATAATCTTAAGTATCTATGTGGTTATTTGCTTTTTTTTATGTAGGCTGTTCTGGAAGGATTTTTTTTTAAATTTCATACTTGATAACTAATGTGTTAATATGAAGGACTGTGGCAATAAGGGATGGAAATTTGTCTGCAAAGGAGAAATATAGCTGCTGTTTTCTGCAGAAAATACGATGAACATAACTTGGTTTGGAAAATTAAAGCTACAAACTTCTACTTCATATTCAGTTTCCACATACTTGAAAATAAATATAACAACAATATCACACTCCTCCAATGGTTTCTTCACAAACTAACTGAACTGAAATACTCACTGCTCTGAGGCGGTGAATATTCTGCACAAACTTTTCATTTTTGTTTCAGAATTGCTCTTGTATACAAGAGAAATAGTTTCGGTGTAGTGGTTAAGGCACCAGTCTACAAATTGGGAAACAGGGATTCAGGGATGCTTTAGGCACAAAGAACTAGGTAATTGTGGGCAATTCACTTTCTCTCAGCTCTAGGAAGGAGGCAGTGACAAAACCACTTCCTGAAAAATTTCCCAAGGAAACTACAGGGACCTGTTCAGTCATCTCTGAGAATCAAACATGATTGAACTGAAGGAAGAAAATACATACAAATATTTAGCTTTCTCACAGAGCACTCTATCGTGTAATTCCGTACACATATGAACATTAGAACACTTCATTTGGGCCAGCTGGGATGCAGCATTTTCTCATGGACTAACTACTGGCTCTATATAAGGCAAACCCATAAAATAAAACATTATAAATCATAGAGGCTATTCATTTGGGGGCAAGCAACATTAAAAAAAATGCACACAAAGACGTAAATCAAGTAAAATATGCTTTATTATTATTATTATTATTAAATTTATTGGCCACCTATCTTGCCCTGTGGCTAATGTAGGTATAACATACTGTAGGTATAATTAGTTGATTAATTGCCAATGAGCTGCAAAAAAAGTGTTATTATAGCTGTTCTAATAAAAATAAATCTGCATGGTTTCTACTTCTTAACCTGTTCTACGCTGTGAGGCTGATATGGAGCTTACAAGTATCAATATGCTTCCCTTTCTCCTCCTTTTATCTTCATATGAATAGGGGATGGGATTGTTTGAAGCATTTCCATAAAGCACTTTCTCGGTCTGGACTCAAGCCACATTTAGCCGATTGTTGTCTTGTTACCAGATCTTCAAGGCCATCCTTTAAAATCACTACAAATACAAAACAAAAACAGCATTTGCGGACAACTGGATTGTGAAAGCTGTGAATTTTGTAATGGCAATGATAATGTATCTGTGCCATCTTTCCATAAACCTCAATGCCTTAGGTAGTTTACCCATCTTTTGATTTTGCTGTCAAAAGCACATAACATGCTTGCTTATCCAATTCATGGAAGCAAGCATTTGTTTTCAAGTGGAAACTTCCAGAGATTATCTCTGTAAGGGTTCCTTTATGAGATCACAGGAGGCTAAGCAAACAATGCATGTGAACAGTAAATTGAACTCAACATAGTTTCCAAGTCAGCTTTTTTGTTTTAAAAAAAAAAGCATTGATTTCAACCACAGAATTGTTGGGAATCTCACTTTGCACAATTCTGGTCTTTTTTCCTTCTTGATTTACTTGCTCCAAGAAAGAGAGAGTAAAGCAATCTATCATTCTGGGAAGCCCTACTGGCTCTATTTCCTGCCTCCAACATCAAAGACATGAGATAAATCTTAAGGAGGATTATTACTTGCTTAATAATAGTATCCCCAATATTCTTACAAGGTTGGTAGAGATCAGTTTATTAGAGAACAGGCTATTCTGGACTCAAGACGAGAGCAGGGTCCATATTTTGCATGTTGTTCTGGGGTGACACTGGCTGTCCTTTCACACGTTTCCATTTCATCCTGCGGTTCTGAAACCATACCTTAACCTGTACAAGAAACAGGACAGCAATCTGATTAATTTAAGCTGCATGTAACTGCATGTTCAAGCTGAGATAACTGTGAGCTTCTTGGGAAGTTTTTCTGTTCCAAGTCAAATCTAAGGCTTTAGGTTGTATAAAGACCAGTTGAACCCTAGTTTCCCTCTACAGAGAGTGGGGGGAGAATTACTAGCTATATTTGCAGTGATTTATTTAATCAACCACATAGAAAAGGCTAAATAAAACAAGAATAAATGTAATTCAAGGATTTTGTGAACTATACAGTGGCTGGGTTCATACATTGTACTAAGACACACCTAATAATATTATAGCTTTGATTTTGGTGTAGAATCAATATCCAATCATTGCAGTTTATTAAAACCAGGGTTGAAACAAACAATGGCTTCAAACAATTGAGAATCCAGCCACTGGGTCTTCAATTAGTCTCCTCTTATTGCTGGAACCAAGCACATTTAAAAGATATTAGATTATTGCACATTCCTGAAAACTCTGAATGAGCCACCAAGCCTTCTCCAACCAGGTAATCCCCCTAAGCTTTGCATCATGCCCCTCATAACCCAGATGCCCACTGATCAGAGGGAGGAGGTTGTACTTTAGCATATCTGAGGGGTGCCAAATTGTTTCCTGACAAGCCATTCCATTTCAGCATCCAGACTGCATTTAGTTCAATTTATTTTTCAGTAATCATTAATACCAAATGATTGCTAAAGCCTGCATTCTACCAGCAACCAGCAAAAAGCTGCCAGAGCAAGCAGGCATAATTTTGAAGGGAATTCTGTGGATGGCTTGGCAAATTCCAGATGCATTTTTTCTCAGTTCTTTGCTTGCAGGACAGAATTTGTAAGCCATTGCACTTGATCTTACACATCACATCCAGTTGTGGAGTTGGTTGTTTTTGTGCAATCCAGACACTAGTTTATGGTTTAGCATTCTGTATCTCTTAGACCAGGATGGCTTATGCAAAATATGGTTAAAACAAATCATGTTTAATGTCATGTGATAACCCATATCCTTGAACTCCAGTCTCAGCTCGCTCTCAAGAGCAAGACAGACGGGAAGCACTAAGGCTAATGGTAAAACAAATACTTTGAAAAGAGAAAAGTTTTCAAAAACCAGCTAGCTTTTTCTTAGCCATGGTGTCTTATGGGACTTGTGGTTTAAAATAGCTGGTGCATTATTGTCTCGGTCAGTTTAACCTAATCATTAAGGTATCAGGCTAGGAACTCGGAGACTGTGAATTCTAGTTGACCTTAACCATGAAGGACAGCTGGGTGACCTTGGGCCAATCACTCTCTCTCTCAGGCCAACTTACTTCAGAGGGTTGTTGTTGTTGTGGGGAAAATAGGAGAGCAAGGTGTGTTGGATGTTCACTGCCCTGAGTTATTATAAATAATAAAGGCAGGATACAAACAAACAAACTCTGTACTGCTAGAAGGAAGGTATGTCAATATTATTTGGAATTGGTATCCTTCTTACTCCCTTTAAAAATATTGGGATACTTAAAATATTTATAAGTGAGCAGGCATTGAATATCCCCAGACTTCTTCCCCTTCTCTAGGCCAGTGTTTCTCAGTCTCAGCTACTGCCCCAAATCCCCCAAGGCAGAAGGTAGACCAAGCAGAAAAGCTTCACCTGTCTTTCTGTCAAATCAAGATTCACAGAAATCTCATATCTCCGGAGCCTTGTCAGATAATTGTGGTGAATAAACTCCATCTCAAGCTCACGCAACTGGTCCTTAGTAAATGCAGTGCGCTCCTTCCGTATTTTGGAGCTGCTGGTTTCTTTCTTTGAGGCAGTTGTAGGATTGCCACGGACTGCACCTTGGCTCTCTATAGAAGGAAGATGTTTACCATCAGGAGACATCAAGCCCATCAGTAGAGTACACAAACAATCCCCCACCCATAAACTCTAGGCTCAGTCGTTGGAGGCTCAGTTCTTGGCATGAACCCATTACATTCAATGATTCAACAAATGATGGTTTAGTTAAATTAGTAGCCAGCAAGTTGTGTGAACAAAGCTTGAAGCTAGGAACAAAAATAGAGAAAAAGATAAAAAAAAAAGTCCTAAGTTATTGCTATAGAACAAAAATGAAAAAACTACAAAATAGATTATGCATAAACTAAAATGTGGTTTGCTAAAAGCAGAAAATATGACCTAAGCAAATTAGCACTGCAAAATTTCTATGGAACATCACCTTCCAGATCCTTGAAAAGTTCCAATTAGATAATATGTAGTAGAGGAAATAAGAGGGAGCATGCAGAGTCTAGAAAACACTGATCTTTCACTTGAAACAGAGAAAGAAATACCCTGATGGATGCTTAAGTATCTTGTTAATGTTATTGTAAATGATGGAAAGTAAGCTTCCTATTCATTATACACTTATACCAGGTCAGGAGCCTGAAAAACAGAGAGCAGCTGGTAACAATGCAATGAAAACCTGGTATCAGATGAAGGGGAAATGTACTCGCACTTTAAAGCACATGTGCACAAACACACAAGCACACACACACGCACACACACATATACACACACACACATTACATACATACATACACACAGAAAGGAGGAGAACATATGCTTCCTGTACACATACACTGACTTCATCCAAGTCTGAAATGTTTTCAAGGCTAAGAGAGCTGGAGTTGGCCTTTTTAAGGCAAAAGACAGTCTGAAAAATATTTTATCAACTCTGTTTGGGTTTAATCGTTCCTTTTTATCTGCTACTAAAGTATCCAGGAAAAAGATCTTCGAACTTTCTTGGGTTTTGACTACCTTCCACCACTGGACCAAATTTGCTTCCTGTTGCAACTGATGATTGTTTATCTCTAACCACCAACTTCATCCAAATGCAGAACTTTGCCAAAAGCTGGGATTTGGTTTAGGAAAAAAAAAACCCAACTATGATGCAGCCATCTAAAAATGTCCTCAGTCCCCTGGTGTTCCAGGCCTGGTGACAGCACCAGATCTTGAAGGACTTCTAAAATGAAGACAGGGATGGAGCTAACCTGACTTCAGGGAGGGGAGGAATAATCTTCCATAGGGCAAGCACCACAGTCAAGAAGCTCACCTCCTGGAACCCAACAAATTAGGCCCCTGGCAAATAGTGTCCGCAACATACCTTCTCTGACAGATTTTATGAGATGGGTTGGTGCAATTAGCATTTAACTTGATAAAATGTATAGTCCAATGAACAAGAATACTCACTTGTGCTCTGAATATCATCATACCATTGAGTTGCCACATCTAGAAGAGAGCAGAACCTAACTTTAGATTATGTGTAACAAATCAGAACTGCCAAACTGTGAGTAAAAATAATGTACAGTAATTTCTTTTGATGGATTCATCCACTGTAACACTTCATTATTCCATTGATCTCAGTACCAACCTCTTAACTCACGTGCTGCAGCAAACCAGGATGCAGTCTTGTTCCCTGCATATAAATAAGGGAAGGAATTGAAAAATGGGACATTATTATTAATACTGTACCACACCTTTCTATTCAGGTGTCCTTGCTCTAGCAGTAGAAGACAAACTGGCATTCTCTCAAAGTCTTCTCTTTAGGGAATTGCTATACAATATCTCCAGGTTACAAACTGGTAATTTTGGAAACCAGTAAACAGTAATTTATTTATTTATTTTATTTGGTTTGTCAATTGCTTACAAGATAATAGGTGTAAGTACAAACATAGTTATGAATACATAGATACATATAAGAAAAATAAAAGAAACAATAGGACAGGGACGGTAGGCATGTGGGTGCGCTTATGCATGCCCCCTACAGACCTCTTAGGAAAGGGGTGAAGTCAATAGTAGAAATTTGTAACCCAGTAAACTGGAATTACCATATCCTGGAAAAAGTCACATTTCAAAGTGGAATCAGATATGCTCTTATTTTAAATAAGCCCAACTTACACTTTTCTGTTTTTTCAGAGAGGAAGCAATGGTCAAGTTTGATATTTAGAGTCCCACTTATTTTTCAAAGAAATTCAAAGGATGCTTATATGGCTATCACTCTGAAGTGAAAGAGGACTTTCATTTCCCCTAGAACTAGTTTCCCCTGGGACCTTAAGCCACACATGGCAGCCCCTAGCTCTCCAAACGGTGTTGAATTCCCTTTTTCATCGCTCTGCTTGTGGGCCATTGAGGATTGACAGCTCTTGGAGGATCACATCTTGTCCCTCTCTGTTCCAAAACAATTCCCAAGATTCTTTTGTGATCCTGATATCTCCATCTCTTTAAAGCCAGTTTGTATCAAAGGGCAATCTAAATCTAGCACAGAAATCTCTTTGAAAATCACTTTACAGAGCACACTAATATGATTAAGGATTCTATATAAATGCAGAGCAGAAAAGTGTCCGGAGGATCTTCAGTCAAAGACTGAATGAAAATCAAGCCGGCCAACCCACATCTACAGCCACCTACCTGCGTTTTCCACTCTCCGTTGGGCTGCTTTATTCTTAGCGTCGCTTGCCACATTCCCTCCGAGAAGGTTATTTTTTCTGGGTCTGGGGCGGCCCGCTTCTAGCCCCCCTGAGCCCGAAGCCAACTCCGCCGGCGGCAGCATCTTCCTCTCAGAAGCCGCCACGTGCCAGGCGCCGGGCGGCTGGAAGGAGTTGTCAGGTTCCTCGAAAGCGCGTTCAACGCAAGGAAGGCTCTGAGGAGCCGCAGCCTGGCAGGGGATCGAGAAATCCACGTAACCCAAGCCTGGTTTCGGGGGCAGAATAGGGGCTGGAAGTTGCTCGGTGGATCCTCGGTTCTGGCCGAGAGGGCGGCTCAGGCATTCCCAGAGAATGGAGGGAGCGTGAGGATTCCTCACGCAGCTTCTGGTGACAGGTGGATCCATGGAGCTCTGCGGCTTTGGCGCGCGGGCACTTCTGAATGAAATCGTCGGAGAGCAAGGAGGTTTGGCGGAAAATAAGCGCCAAAGAGAGAAGGCACTGTGGCTGCTGCTTTTAACAGGTCGTGAATCGAGTCTCGTTCGGGAAACTTGGCAAAATTCTTCCTTAATGTCCGCAGGACAATGTCCTCCTCCTCCTTCCCAGGTCGGGCGCTTCCTTGCTATGAAGCAACTGAGCCCAGGAAACACTTTTTAAAGTCTGGGTGTGAGTAACAAGTTTAGGAGGAGAAATTTGAGAGAGGGAGGGCTTAACTCGCATCCCCAGCCCCTCCAACCAAAGCCAAGTACGCAACGATTAATCACACGAAACCTTAGAGGCGCATCAAATGGGAAACGCAGATGGAGACTTTTAAAGAAACATTGTACTTTTTTAAAAAGAGGAAAAAAAAACCTGGGGGGGAGGGAATATAACGCGCACACAAAGAGGGTTTAATATTTCTTTCTCACATTGGGGTTAGTTTTATTGCATGGGGGGGGGTACACGTTTGAGATTTGAAAAGAAAAGAAAAAAGTAAAATTCTGCCCCAGAAACCAGAAACCTGGCAAAAAGGCAGTAAGGGAACCATATGAAACGAATAGATCCTGGGTAGCGAGACTGCGGATAAGATGAAAGAAAACGGGGGTGAATGACAGTTGGAGGGAAAGACTTACACTTAAGGGCTAATTTAAAAGTTTGAAGTGTACATTGTTAGACAGTGAAAAGATATCTCCGAAGACAGAGAACGGTGACCCGATCAAAGTGGAAAAACCCCTTTAAAGATCAAACTAATTTGATCTCTAAAATATGATAGAACTTTGGTTAAAGACGTTATGTCTCCTGAAATACGATTTTATATATCCAGTAGGATATACTGCTACTTTCTCAGAATCTTTGAATGGTAACAGTTAATACTATTTCAATATAATGACCAATTTGTTCACCCTTACAATTATTACGCATTTGGATGAACGTGATTTATTTCCATTTTAAAATTGTCTTTGAACTTTTCAACATCTGAGCTGAAATGCCTCATGGAATCTAGAAATAGGTGAACAACTTCATTTTTTGCCAGACATGAAACGCCTTTTATCCCATTTTTGTATCACTTAAAAAATATGTGTTGTGTATATTTCTTTATAAACACATGTTTATATCCACTGCTGGTGTACAAATGTTTTGCAATTTTCACTGTCATACATTTGTGAATTCCATTACTGTGTATATTTATATAGGCAGCTTTGTATGTCTTGAGAAGTATAATATTTTTAAGGATTGGAAATTGCATTGGAAAAATATGAATTTGGATTTCAAGATGTAAATATATTTTTCCTTTATTTATAATGAAATTATGGAATAGCATGCTATTTAATGTAATAGCACAATAGTTTGGATGTTTAATTCTATGGATCACAGACATGCACAATTAAATCATAATCCATTCCTGTTTGAATTATGAAAAATAATAATGCTCACTGGAATAAAGTCAGAGTGTCTTATATATTTTAACATTCTGAATCTTACCACATTCTGAATCTTACCACATTCTGAATCTTATCTTATACTTTTAACTTAATTTTTTCCAGAGCATCATGATCTCTAAATATTTCTTTGATAGCAGCATTTAATTTTCATAATAATGGCAATAAAGACATCTGCTAAAGGTGGTACAGAAATCAATTTATTACTTTATAAAATACTGGGACCAGTGGCTTTTATTGTCCTTTGAAAGCACATTAACAATAAATATATTTTCCTAAGTTGGTAGAACAATTCAATTGAGAGGCTGCTGAAATCTAAAATATGAAGGAGCAACTCATGTATTTTCAGGGCAGGTACAATTCCAAGCACTGGGTTTAGGAGTTTTCTGAAGGGGCAGAAAGTCCCTAGTACCAATATAGAGCACTTTGGTTCATACTTCCCAGGGGTGGGATCCGACCGGTGTAACTACCAGTTCAGTGATTTAAACTGCGCACATGTGTATATCCTCATCAGCTTGCTGTCTGGACAGCTTAGCAGAGGGTGTGCAGTGGTTGAAAAAGCCCTTTTATCCTGCTTTTTCAATCACGGCTGTGCCACGCGTTGACAAACCAGGAAATAAAGGTCAGGTAAGAGCCCGGGCAGGCATGTGGGCCAAAACAACAGCAGACATAGAACCAGTTCTGTGTCTGCTGCTCTTCAGAGCTACCGGTTCTACAGAGGTGGACAGAACCGGTAGAAACCCAACCCTGATACTTCCCTCATTTACAGATACAGATAGCCTTCCACTTATGACCACAACTGAGCCCAAAATCTGTGTTGCTTAAGGGAGACAGCTGTTAAGTGAGTTTTGCCCCATTTAACAACTTTTCTTGCCACCGTTGTTAAGTGAATCACTGCAGTTGTTAAATTAGTAACACAGTTGTTAAGTGAATCTGGCTTCCCCTTTGACTTTGCTTGTCAGAAGGCCACAAAAGGAGAATACATGACCTCTGGGACACCGTGACCGTCATAAACATGAACCAACTTCCGAGCACCTGAATTTTGGATCACAAAATGACCATGGGGATGCTGCAATGAAAAACGGTAATATATCACTTTTTTTCAGTGCTGCTTTAACTTTGAATGTTCACTAAATGAATTCAAGGACTACCTTTTATAGATCCTCTGACCAAAGCAATCCCCAACTCAAGGAGCTACTTTCACCTTACTTTGAAAGGTAAAAGCATTATAGCAAGAAAGTTTTAAGTGACTATAAACAAGACCTCTGTGGGTAGTTTCAAATTGTGGTTTTTGCTTTTCGGGTGTCTCTTATACTGGATTTGGACTTCACATGACTCCAAAGTGATGTGACCTCTTTTATAATAATTTTAATGTGACCTCTTTTATAATAATTTTATTTTGGGAGATAAACTCTTAAAGCCAAAATGTAATCAATAGAAGAAACAAAAAAAGCAAAAATAAAACAAAATAAAATGGAATTGAACTGAATTGCAAATAAAATAGAATTGAGTATAATGAATCACAGTATGTAAATCTTCTTCAGAGTTGTGAGCTATGAGTTCATGTCAGGATATAGCTGTTCACTTGACCATCCCATGCCTCGTTCCATTATTAAGTTCATTAACTTAAAAAAATACTTTATTTTTAGGATTGTTTGAAGCTAAATCACTGAAGAGAGGATTTTAAAACATCAAATTAACTATTTTCAAAATATTGTAAAATATATAAAGGCACTTCAGTGATAGCAATAACAATAGCACTTAGACTTGTATACCGCTTCACAGTCCTCTCTAAGCGGTTTACCGAGTAAGCCTATTGCCCCCAACAATCTGGGTCCTCATTTTACCCACCTCAGAAGGATGGAAGGCTGAGTCAACCTGGAGCCTGGTGAGATTTGAACTGCCAGATTGCAGGCAGCCAGCAGTCAGAAGAAGTAGCCTGCAGTACTGCACTCTAACCACTGCCCCACCAGAGCTCATAGTGATACATTTTTATGCAGAATTGAATATCCCAGTTGATAGTAGATTAACTATAGAGCAGGGGTCCCCAACCCCCAGGCTGCAGCTCACTATTGGGCCTTGAGCCATTCAGAACCCGGCTGCAGTGGGTAAGCATGCGAACACATCCCCAGTTGCGCAAGCAGCAGCTGAGCACATGTGCACCTGTTCCATTTGTGCGAGCCAAAGATGCTTGTGCTCACCTCTTACACAAATGGAGCTGTACACGCACACTTGCCCACCACTTACATGGAATCATTCCCTCTCCTTCCCTCCACCCCACCCCACCGGGCCGCAGAGCCAGACAGGTTGAGAAACTCTGCCATAGGTAAATGTTTATGGAGATTCTCAGTCATCCAGGTTATGGTTGTCCCAAAGGTGCTTTTGGGATGTCTGCTATAGATGGATAGCCAAGGAGTCTTTATATGCAAATAACCCTCAACTACAACCAATTGTTTAGCAACTGTCTGAAGGTGCAATAGCTCTGAAAAAGTGACTTATGACTTCTCCTTGGACTTATCACCATTGCAGCATCCCCCATGGTCAAGAGATCAAAATTTGGGTCCATGGCAAACACCATGTATTTACAATGGTTCCGGGGTCCTGAACTCACCATTTTGCTATCTTCCTGGCCAGCTTCTAATATTCAAAATCAATCGAGGAAGCCGGATTCACTTAAGAACTTCATGATACACTCAACAACGATGGCAAAGAAGGTTGTAAAATCAGGTGTAACTCACTTAACCATCACTTTGCTTAGTAAAGAAAATTCCGGTCCCAATCGTGGGACTTAAATGATGCAAATACTTTCACACAAACTGAAATTCTTCACAACTCTCCTTGTGGCAAGCAATCACGTACAGGTAGTCCTCGAATTATGAAGTTATGACATCACTGAAAAAAAGTGACTTATGACCGTTTGTCTCACTTGCAATCATTGCAACAATCCCCATAGTCACGTGGTTTGGATGCTTAGCAACTGGTTCATATTTATGACAGGTGCAGGGTCCCGGGGCCATGTGATCACCTTTTGTGACCTGATATGCAAAATCAATGGGGAAACCAGATTCACTTAATGACCATGTTACTCAACAGCTCTGGCTAAGAAAGTTCGTCAACTGGGGCATAATTCACAACAACTGTTTCAATTAACAACAGAAATTTTGGCCTCAATTGTGGTCCTAAGACTGCCTATACTTGTGGAGTTCTTTAATAGCCTGGCCAGTACCAGCAGTATATGAAACGTGTCATTATTAGTACATGTATAGTACACATAATATAAAGAAATAATCTTTACAGGCTGAATTTATTACCTAAATGTAACTTTTAAAAATGTCTGCATCCTTTCTGAGAATTGCTTTTTTTTTTTTTGGGGGGGGGGGGGGGGGGAAATCTCATTGCTTTAAGGAATTGCAGATCTCATTGCTTTAAGGAATTGCAGATGGTGCTGCAGTCACATCTTGTAGTGCTAGTCAAATTCAAAATACTGCACAGCCTAAATGAATAATTTATTTGTACTATGGTGTATTATTGTAGTATACACAGATTGATTGTGTGGCATCAA